CCCCAGGCGGCAGACCAGGGAACCAAGACTTCAGAGAAGGGAAGTGAGAGCCAAAGACCCTGCAGACAGGACGTAGGGGAGCTGGCTTGAACCTGATGCCACCTGTCCCCCACTCCCTTGATCTGGCCTAACTGAGGGGAGGCTGAAAGGCCCTGGCCACCACAACCATTAGCCTGGACCCCTTATAAGAGGTCAAAGGGTCTAGAAGGTCCCAGAGCCCCTGCCCGCTACCTCCTGCCCAGCTCTGCTCCAGATACAACTCACTCCCGCTGGGTCACCTTGCAAGGTGGTGTCGGGACAGGTCGGGACAGGCCTGTTTTCTAGCCAGGTGGAAGGGTGGGGAAACAGAGGAAGACAGACGTGCTGGTAGCGGACACCCAGACATTTCTGTTCCCAAGAGGCTATAGAGGCGACTGTCTTGGACATCCGCAGGTGGCTGGCCAAGGCAGGCCTGTGCCAGGCCCTCAGCAGCCACTGTTCTCGCGGATCCTCCAGAGGAGCCAGGCTGCTTCGTGTCACGTGGGGCACGGTTAGGAGCTGGGCTGAGCAGGCAATGGGCTGGGGACCAAGGGCCAGCTCTGTGTGTGACCCCAGGCAAGTGACTTTACTTCTGTGTCTCAACTCTCTCCTGTGCACAGCCGGGACCAATCACAGATACACACCCACGGCACTGCTGTCGGCACATCACAAGGTGAGGGACCGCCAGCCCTCGGGACAGCTGACCTCACCGAAAGTGCTCACTAACCCTTAAAGAGACTGTGAGGGTCCACTCCCTGACCACGATGGGTAAACTGAGGCCAGTAGCCCAGCCAGGCCTCTGATTGTGGTTTCCTGATCCCAGGGTCTCTCCCTGCCTGCCCAGCTGGGAACCTGAATTGCCAACAACCCTCCAGGAGACTCTGACGGGGAGCTGGGTTTGTCCCCACCCCTTGGTCGGGGGCAGAAGAGGCAGCAGGGGCCCTGGTACCTTGAGGATGGAGTTGTCCTGGCGGGTGTTCTTCGTGTCATAGCCCTCCAGCAGGCAGCAGCGCACCGTGGAGCCCGAGCCCGCAAACTCAGCCAGGTTCAAGTCGGCGAAGCCCAGCTAGGAGGGAAGAGGAGCGTGTGGGAGGCTGCAGGGCGTGTGGGCTCCTGGCTGGCAGACTCCCCGAAGGGGTAACTTGGCAGAAGTTGGGGAGGGGGAAGACAGGCAGAGCCCCTGGACCCGCCCCACAGCCCTGACTGACCGTTGCATAACTGGGACCCACGGACAGAGGGCCCGGGTCGGCAGTACCAACGTGGCAAAGCCAGGAGCTCACATCCCTGAGCTGCACAAAGCACCCTTTGTGTCGTGTCCCAGCGTGCACTGGGGCCAGCGCGCCCGACATGAAAGGACATTGTTGTCTGTGACACAGATGCATTGTTTCCTGGGAAACAAGGCCGTGCTGTCGGGAGCTGCCAGGCAAGCAGGCAAGGAAGGAGGGAAGGCCCGTGGGAACTGGATGGTGGGGTGGCATGATGGGGGGAGGGGCACGGACCCCAGGGAAGTCCCCCTCGTGGAGGCCAAAGTGAGGGGCTGGTGGGGGCCTCCTCTGATGCCGAGTCCAGGAGAGAAGCGAGGGGTGGGGAGGGAAGTGGGCGAACGTGCCAGAAGCAGGCATGAGCTAGAAGGTCCTGAGATGGCAGCAGCCAAGTCTGCCAGATCTGTAGGGGAAACTGAAGTCAAGGTGAGGTGGTGCCAGGCTTGGGGACGTGGGGGAAACCCAACCAATCAGGGATGTTTATCGACTTGCTATGTACGAGTCTCTACTGCTGTGCTTAGGGGCACACGGTCCGGAATCAGGGAACTGAGGTCAGGCCCCAGCTCTGCCACTGACTCAGACCCTGTTTTACAGATGAGGAAACTAAGTTCAGGGAGGGGAAGAGGCTTGCCCAGGGCCACACAGCTAACCCGACGGATAGGACTAAAACTAGGCCAGATCAGCCTACCACGCCCATGTCCCACCACTCCTCTGGGCCTTGGTCTCCTCCTCTGTCCAATAGGAGTAAAGCTGGCAGCAGGAGTTCAATTACAGAACAGAAGGGAAGGGGCCTGGCAGCATCTGACAGGTGCTAGGTGCTCCGTAAGCGTTTGCTGGTGGAGATAAGATGCTCTCGGCTGATCCCGGTTGTTCTTTACTGCTTGGGTGGCTGTCCTCACCCGCGTGAGTCAACAGGAGGAGAAATTTCCATTTCAGCACCCTCCAAGCCCAGTTCTAGCCACCCTGCCCACTGCTTCTGGAGAGGGACGTCAAATCTGGGGCTGGGGCAGAGTGCACAGCCCAGCCGCCAAGTTCCTGAGCTCTGACCAGTGGGAAGGGCCGGGCCCCGTGCAGAGTCCCCCCACAGGCCTTCCACGTGGGGTGAGAGGTGAGGCAACAGCACTTCCCCTCCTGTCAGAGGGAGCCCACTCCCCGCTCCTGCCATGGGGCTAGCCTCCCGGCAGCCCAGAGGGGAAGAAGGGAGGCCCAGGGTCCCCCCCAGAGACGAGGGGTTGAGGGCAGAGCAGGGTGATTCAAAGCCAGAGCCGTCTTCTCTCTTTCCCCAGCAGAAAAGGTTTTACTCCGTAGGGCTAGACTGTCTGTGGGTGCAGTGAAACCCTGGCAACAACACAGATGTCCCACGGCGGGGACTGGCTGAGTCAACCGTCACCAGTCGTGCAATGGGATGTTGTTGCCATTAGAAAGCACACGGAAATTTGTGATAACACAAAAAGATGCCCACGATGTACTGGCTAAGTGAAAAACCAAGCTGCAAATCTGTGTACTTCGGTGTTTTAAAAATCCTATTGTTTGCGTGCACAGAAATACACATAAAGGCTGCTCATTTTACTCTAAACTACATGCATGTATTTTTAATTCACTGCTCTGCATGTATGGTAATTTCATAATTTTTTTCTTATAAGGTCTGGAAAGGTCCTAACATATCGCCATAGTGGGGTCCTGGGGAGAGGCCTGGAGAGAGGAAGGGGACAGAAACCAACCCCTTCACTCTGAACTTTTGTATCATTTGTGTTGCAACGAGCATGTGTTGCCTTTATATGGACTGCAAAGACTTATCAATAAAGATATTTCCAAAAAATACATCTCATGCAGGGCTGACTGTCTCCTGTTTGTGGCAGAGAGGGGGCTGGAAGTCCTTCTGGAAGCCTCCCTCATGCCCATCCCACACTGCCCCGTTCCATCCCACCGCCCCTTCACACAGCCCCTCTTACCTTGGAATAAGCCTTCCCGCCTTTCAGCTCCTGCACAGGGAGGGAGACACAGCAGCAGGGTGACTAGGGAGTCCCAGGGACCTCATGTGTCTCCCCAAATCCCCCCAGACTTGAGGGGGGGACAAGAAAAGGGACAGAGCAACTCCCCCCATTTTTCCTTGGTCAGGGGGCAAGTCAGGGGAGGGGCCTAAAGCCCCCAGGCCAGTGGCCCCACGCCCACCCTCACCCTGGGCCGGTCTCACCTTGCGCACAGACACGCGGAAGACGCAGGGGTCCAGCAGGCCCGTGGCCGGGTTGGCGCTCATCTTACACACAAAGGTGAACCTCTTCCGCCACCGCACGCAGTTCTCCTGCACCTCCTCCCTGAGGGCCAGAGGGGAGAGGGGAGCACAAGCACAAAGTACAGATCGCTGCCAGGGGACCCCGTAAGGTACCTGGGGCAGGGCGAGAGCGCTGCCAGGGTGCCACTGCTGGCGGGAGTGAGGAGGGGAGCTCTCACTTCTCACTTTGTGTCACACAGTGACTGTATTTTCATAAGAACGGACTTGTGTAATTGTAAAAACAACAAAAAAACATGTAATACAACATGCAAAACACAAGGCCAGGGTGAGGCCAGGCTGGGGCAACTGCCCCAGCTGAGCTGCCCTCTGCTCCCAGCGCTGCCCCCTCCACCCTGCTCTGTGACCATGGATGGCTCCTTCCACTGCCACTACCTCCCCCCAGCCAGGCTCCTGCCAACCGCCTCAGGTGACCCTCACAACGGTCTTCCCAGGCCGGACGACGCTCAGCCCATTTCACAGGTGAAGAGACTGAGGCAAACTGCCCAGCATCAGCCAGCCGGGAAACAGCTGCGCTGGGCTCTAAGCCTGGTTCGTCCCGACTCCAGAGCCCCCTTCTTCAGCACTAGTAACAAAGACAACAGTAACCACCGTGGCTAATACGCACACAGCGCCTCCTGTGTGTCGGCACTGCTCAAAGAACTTCACAAAAGCCAGCCGTCCCCAGAGCCTGCTCCCAGTGCTGGCGATAGGAGCTCGTGCCAAACCCTTGCAAACGCCGCCCGGGACAGCTGCCATCTCAGCCCAGTTCCACACTCAAAGAAACCAGGAGCGCTGGGGGTGAAGACCCTCGCCAAGGCCCACCACCAGGAAGAGGAGAACAGGGGTTTAACCCAAGCAGCCTGGCTCCGTGCACAGACAGCAACCAGGGCCCTCAGCTTCCCTGACACTAACTGGTCGTCTGGCCTTCCAGCCCCTCAAGTTCCTCCTAGGCTGGGAGCCGCAACTACGCTGAGAAACTCAGCACCCCTTTAATGGGGAGGTGCTTTGTGCCCTGGGGTGAGTGGGAGCAGGTGGGAGCGGCTCAGCCAAGCCTCTCCAGCTGCCGCAGAGGCCTCGGCAGGATCTGGGGGTGGCAGCAGCACGTGGCAGAGAAGAGCTCTGCATCCTGCAGCTTCCTTCGCCCCACAGCCCGCCTGGCAGAACCGGCGCTAAGGAAGGGGCGGCCACGGAAGGGCGGGGGCGGTGTGAGAGACGTTATCTCCAGCTGGTCCCACCTAACCGGAAAGGCCAAGCAGACAGCTTAGGAAGTGACCTCTTCACACCCTGGGTGACCGGAGGAACTTGGGCTAACTGCCAGGTTGGGGCCCGAGGGTGGAGGGTCAGAGAGGGCGGCCGTGAAGCATCTCCTAGATCGACGTTCGCTTCTCACGGCAGCCGTGCAAGGTGGGCTCTCTGCGCCCCCTTCTACAGCTGAGGGCACTGTGAGGAAGCCGCCCTACACCCACTCAAGCTCGCATTCCTGGTGGTTGGCAAAGCAGGATTTGAATCAAGGACCGTCCGACTTCAGAGTCATGGCTCCTCGGCCATCACCTCGGCTCCCAGGCGGTGGAGCCTGGGGCGCCCGGCAGGTGGAACCCGCGGCGCTGGTGGGGCCGGCAGTGCCCGCCATGCACCCGAGCGAGGCCCTGCCCAGGTCTCTGAGTGCCAAGCAGGCGCTGGGCGGTGAGCCACTGCCGCGGACTACATCCACCCAGCGATGACTCAGTGTCACCTGGAGGGGGCAGGGGAAGGGGTGAGTCAGGGAAGGTGACTGCTGCAGGGAGGTGACATTCAAGCTCAGGCCCAAATGACAAGTGGGGAGAAGCCAGCTGGGGGAGGCAGCTCCAGGGAGAGGGAGCAGCACGAACAAGGAAGGAGTCCCGTTTCCGTGGCCAACGAAAGCCCCCAAGCCCACCTTCTGCGAGAAGCCCCCTCCAGGCAACCATGCCTGGCTCCACGAGGCTTTGAGGATGTGGCCAAGGGATATCCTGTGCTCCTGCCAAGGCTGTGACAAGGGGCAGCAGGACTTGGGTCAGGCAGACCTGGGCTACAGCCCTCACGCTCACTGGGCACGGCACCCTCCCTCGTGGGCACTTGGGCGTGCGCAGCGAGGGGAGCCCTGCAAGGGGCCTGGCGTCTCTGCGAGAGACGATGACGGCCTCATCTGATGAAGACGCTGGGGATGGAGGGAACTCAGCCACCGGGATGCTGCCACCCTGTCAGGAGGCTGAGCTCCAGCAACCCCGTGCAGTCCCAGATGGGGACAAGCAGAAAGGTCAGGGCCAGAGAACTGGTGAACGGACAAATAAAATGTGGTCTAGCCATACAGTGGAGTGTTATTCGACAATAAAAAGAAATGCTTATACATGCTTCACTGCGGGTCAACCTTGAGGAATTATGCTAAGTGAGAGCAGCCAGCCAGAGAGGACTGCACAGTGTATGATTTCATCTATGTGAAATGCCCAGAGTGGCGAACCCACAGAGACAGAAAGCAGACTGGTGGCCAGGGGATGGGGAAGTGGATGGGAATGGCTGCTCATGGGTATGGGGTTTCTCGCTGTGGTGATGAAAATGTCCTAAAATTGGTTGTGGCGATGGTTGTACAACTCTGTGAATATACCAAAAACCACTGAATTATACACTTTAAAAGGGTGAATTGTGTGGTATGTGAATTATATCTCAATAAAACTGTTACCAAAAATCAAATACTTGGTAGGTCGGATAAACAGAAAATGGAGACCACAGCAGGAAAGGTGGGTGGGAGTAGAGATGAGAAGGGGGGGCACTACTTCAGGCAGGTGCTTAGGGATGGCCCTCATGGCAGTGACATCTGAGCAAGGCTTGGAGGGAAATGAGAACTAGAGCTGAGCAACAATGGGGGGAGAGCCATCCAGAGGAGTGAACAGCAAGTGCAAAGGCCCTGCGGTAGCGGCATGCTCGGCAAATGGACACACAGCACGGAGGCCTGTGGCTGAAGAGGAGGTGAGAGGAGAGCAGAGCAGATAAGGGTGAGGGAGCAGGGGTGAGGGCCTGCTGGGCCTCAGGGTGCAGTGAAGACTTTGCATCTACTCTGACAGCAGCTCCATCTCCCCCATGGACTGTGGCTTAGGCAGAGGCTAAGAGCAGCCACAGGAGAGGCGGGTAGAAGGGCAAGGAGAACAGACGCTTCCCAGGCGGCCAGGGGGCCAAGCTTGAGAGCAGGGCAGCTGGGAGCCGCCACGGCTCCCACGTGGACCCTCAGACCCCCACCCTAGCTAGGAGCTGGGGGCAGCTGCTGGAGGCCTAAGGAGGAAGCTCGCTGTACTGGGTGTGTTGAAATACTCAGGAATTAGGATTAGTATCTGGGAACAAAAGCTCATGGTGAATTGTGGGTTTCTGCCCTTCCCCTTTCGGAGTCTGCCGTGGGAGTGCCGGCCAGAAAGCCTGAGGCCCATCTGTGGCTCCAGGGCCGGGCCAGAGAAAGCCACGTGGAGCCCTCTCAGGCTCAGGTAACGGCACGTTCCCTCCCTCGGGAAGGCGAGCCCGGGACGGGATCCCAGGATCAGTGCCTGGCAGCCCTGTTTCCGCAGGGCTCTAACAATCACCTGTTTGATGCCACCACACCCTGGGGAAGAAGCTAGCAGCCTTGCCCGGCCCACCCTAGGGGGTCCCAGCAAGGGTGAAATAAACACTGCAGCAGTGGCTCCTTCCGAAGGCCTACTGTGTGTCACATGGAACTCAACACAGAAAGGTGGGGATCGGTCACCATGGCCCACTCTACCTACGAGGAAAGTGAGGCTCAGAAACGCTGTGTAGCTCCCCCAAAGTCACACAGCTGCCGGCAGCAGAGCCAGTCTTGACTGCAGGCCGGCTGTTCCATGTCCACAGCCCGTGTCCCACCCAGGTCATAGCCTGCAGCCACCTCAGGGCCCACAGGCCTCCCTTCAGACCCAGGGCTCCTCTGGTAGGAAGTGGCTGGGCACCTCAGGTGGGTGGCGTGGGTCCCAGACACACGGCAGGGACAACGAGGGGAGACGCACACAGCCTCAGGGCTGGGGCAGGGGAGAGGGTGCAGAGCAGACAGCAGGAGCCCCAGGCTGGAGCTGGCCAGGCCAGGGGTGAGGAAATCTCAGGGACTTGATTCACTCGGAAACCTTTCATTAAGCACCCACCACCTGCCAGGCATTGCCGAAGGCCCTAGGGACATAAGCAGCAAACGAAGTGGACAGAAACCGTCCCCTGCAAGGGGCTTACACTCTGGGTAGGAGACAGGCAAAACCAGGCAAGTGCATGCCAGGAGGTCGTAGGTGCTATGGAGAAAAAGGAACTGGGGAAAGGAGTAGGCAGTGTCCAGGTGAGGGGACATGAAGGAAAGATGGCCAGGGAAGGTCTTAATGGGAAGGTGACAGCTGAGCAAAGAGCCGAAGGAGAGAGTGAGCCCCACAGACACCTGGGGACAGAACAACCCATGCTCGAGAACAGCACATGCAAAGGCCCTGGGGTGGGAATGCGCCTGACTTGTGTAAGAAGGAGCAAGGAGCCAGCATGGCACATGGTGGGCGGGGTGACGGGAGAGGGAGTCTTGGCCCCAAGCTCACAAAGAGGGCCCGTGGAGATGTCGGCAGCCACAGGCGTCCACATGTGCACGGGCGGCCACAGCAGCAGCGATTACAGTTGGGTGAAAACAGGAAGAACCCAAATGTGCATGAGGGGATGGTTCAAATGGCACCAAGCAGACAACTGCCAGACGGCGGTTGGGACGGCGCAGAGGGCAGTCTGTGCTCGTCGACAGGGAAAGACTCATCAGACTCACAGGAGAAGCAACACGCAGAAGGGAATCTACAGTACAACACCATTCCGTGTTAGTTTTTTAAAAGTGACTTATGTAAATGTCCATGTGCACAGAGAAAATGGGAGGTGCCTGAGTGACATCGCAAATGAGGGCCATCTCTGGCCACTGGAGTGTCTAGAGATTAAGAGTAAGTAGGGAAGGAGAGAGAGAAAGGATGAGGATGGGGGTGGACCGTGTCTTTTTTTTCTTTGTGAACTGGAAGTATCAGTTGA